GGCAACCCAGAAGACTGCCATCTTTCAGACTCAGCGTCGTGGAAACCTCAAATCCTACTTAATAGGAATGTAATCCATACATCGTTCTTACCCATAGTTCTTGTATTAAAGAATCGTTAATTGCAGAATCTCTCATATAAACGTATTGTTTTCTTGACAACATAGCTCGCAGACTATAGGCCATACTAAAGCTAGCAGAAATTTTTTTCCATTACAGTTTTCAGTGTACTGACATTGAAGTGAGTTCTAGAAGGCAGAGGCTGTGTAATTTGAAATAATTTAATATCTTCGTCTTTCCTGCGTTTCATATCCGAAACTACTCAACATATTTCGACTAAACCTAATGCAGCGAGTTACAAAGGGATTTAATTTAATTAGGTTACATGTCCTGAATTCATACGCAATAGCCCTATTTCCCTTAAAAAATACTGTCCGCGCTAACTAAAGAACTGTTACGTAACATAAACACAGATCTCGCTATAACTTAAAATTTTATCTCAAATTTCCCCTGTGTATTGATATGGTGAATTTTATCAAAAGGTCAAACGATTTAAGACTGCAGCGTATGTCCTGTGGTTTCTGTAGTGTGGTTAGCTTTATATTACAAATTTTTATGTAAGCTATGGGCCACATAAACACATGAGCCCACTAGTATAGCCCTGTGCACACGGCAAAGAACGTCTTTGGCAAATACTTGTATCCCAAAAAGATGTATTCACATATTCATGCATGAAATAAAAATATTTTAATAAACTAAATAATTACAAACATCAGCATTGTTACTTCGTGAAAAGCTAAACTAATGTAGCTTCTTAAAATGACCACCGTTACCTTTTTCACACGGTTTACAGTGGTGAACAAAAGACTGACAAGCGGCCACAAAAGTTGCTGCTGTGTTCACATCTTTTTGGGACACTCTGTGCTTCAAATTTCTGTATAGAAAATCCGCGTAAAACTACACTATTCATAATTGTCCGGTTGTTTTAATTATTAAAGGTAATATACATTGACTGCATTTTTACATTATGTAGATTAGTAATATTGCATGATAATTTGAGCTAAGCCTAAATTTTATTTGCACTGAGATAAGCGGAATCACCGCTTGCTGAAGAACCAACATTTCCTGTTCCTTCCACTTTTTCACCGGGTCTAGTTATTGCTGTGGTTTGCCTCTAGGTTCAGCCCAGCAAAGACGCCCAGTGTCATGGCAAATTGTGTTCGCTTTGAAGTCCTTAAACTTGCCGTTTTGCTTACTTTAAGCCTGAAGATTTCTGTCTTCTGGGTTGTTGCGCTGTGTAGTCTGGTCGATGTTTACCAACGTTTCAGAGGTCATACTGCCTCCATCATCAGGGCGATGAATATGAAGACTTCTGTCTTCTGGGTTGTTGCGCCGTGTAGTCTGGTCGATGTTAACCAACGTTTCAGAGGTCATACTGCCTCCGTCATCAGGGCGATGAGTATGAAGATTTCTGTCTTCGGGGTTGTTGCGCTGTGTAGTCTGGTCGATGTTAACCAACGTTTCAGAGGTCATACTGCCTCCATCATCAGGGCGATAAGTATGAAGATTTCTGTCTTCTGGATTGTTGCGC